CAGACCCTAAATCATGGAAAGATGATTCAGGGAATATAAAATATCGAGAGCCAACATGCCTTTTTGCCAGTGTTCTCATCATCTGTATTCAACAATATCCAGGTAAACTGTAGACTGACAAATCCCTTCTCTGAGACTAACTGATTAGAACAGTGGTCTCAACCTGTGGGTTGCAACCCCTTCATGGGTAGAGCGAGCCCTTCAGAGGGGTCAACTAAGACGATCAGAAAACACAGATTTTTACCGTATGATTCATAACAGTAGCAAAATTACAGTTATGAAATAGCAATGAAAATAATTTTATGGCTGGAGTCACCACAACATGAGGAACTGTATTATAGGAGGATCATGGCTTAGAACAAAGTGTTCCCTCAATGCATGCTTAGGAAGCTTCTAAGTTTGATATACTCCTGAGAGTCCCAGAATTGCTCATGATAACCTCTGAAATACAACTTAGAAAACATTATTTCTTTTAGCTATCTATCACCAAGCCCATGCCTCAGCCCAAACCTAACAACCCGAGAATGGTTCCATTTCTCAAGGCTTCATTCATGGCCTGTCCAAAGAATCTGTGATTCTCTGGGAGGCTTTTGACTAAGGGACAACATGCGCTTTCCTTTTTGGATTTTTACTTAGTCTTATTTTAAAACTAAATAAAATTTCAAACTCACAAAGTATTCATTATTGACAAAAATATCAAAACTAATTAGGAAAAAAATCGTTAGCATGGGAATACTTTATTTCAGTCTGGGATATACATTCAAATATTAAAATAAAGATATTTTTAGATACCAAAAGAAAATAGTAGGCAAGTGCTGAAGGTATAGTTCAGCTAGAAGAGTGCTTGTCTAACATGCACAAAGCCCCAAGCTTGATCCCAAAACCAGCCTAAAATCAGGTATGGTAGCAAATGCCGGTGATCCTAGCTCTGAGGAGGTAGAAGCAGGAGGGTCAGGAGTTCAAGGTCACCTTCAGCTACATAGTGAGTCCCGAGCCAACCTGGGCTACATGAACTGTCAAGAAAGGAAGAATAAAAGAGAGGATGTAAGAAATTAAAAAAAAAAAAAAAAGTCGGTAGAGGAAGGAGGGAAAGGGAAGGGGGAAACGGAAGAACATACAGAAAGGTCAACAAAAAAATCCAAAGCTAAAATTTTAAAACATTTTCATTATATAAAACCATGGTCCATAAATGGATGACACAGCCATATGACAAGTGAAATTTAAAACAGCCACATTTCCCACGGTGCCGATGACACCTCTACTAACCTCATCATCCTTCTCTCTATAAGCAGTTGCAATACTGGTCTGAACAGCCTTAATCCAGGCCTGGCGAAGCTTTTCGGAATCTGCCTGGAGCATACAACTTCTAACAGGAAACAATACCATTTTGTCAGACAATAAATCAGAAGGGGGAAAAGTCCACACACTTTATTTTTTCTAACTATTCTACTCAGCACATTTTAAATAATAATGTATGTGTATTGGTGTTGTACTTGGGCAGCGCTGTGCGTGGTGTCCTGGAAGGCCAGAAGAGCGCAGGAGAACCCTGGGCCTGCACTCACGGCCAACTGAATGCCACCAATGTGTGTTCTGGGAAGTGAACCCTGGCCCTTTGGAAGAACAGCTAGTTCTTAACCAATGAGCCATCTTTCTAGCTACCCAGTAAAAATGAATAGCAAAAAGGTAATGATTTTTAGCTAAAAATAATTTTAGTTGAGAATTTCATCATTTATCTATCTTTTGGGCAAAGTATGGCTATGATAACAAAAAAGTACAAATGAAAAAACTATTTTTAAAAACAAAGTACCTATCCCCAAGCCTAAAAAATACAAATGATCCAAATACAGTGGCATATGCCCTCCCTCAGGACCTAAGAATGTTGAGCTCCTGGTCTGTCTGAGTTAGTACAGGCAAGTATGGGGTCAGACAGGACTACAGAAGGAAATTTTCTCAAAGTGTGTGTGTGTGTGTGTGTGTGTGTGTGTGTGTGTGTGTGTGTGTGAGTGTAGGTTCTTCTCATATTCTTTCTTCCTCCCTCTTCCTCCTCTCTCCCTACTATGTAAGCAGAATATTCCTTTCTTTTAAAATTTGGGTACATATTTCATCTGTCATACACTTTCAATTCAATGTAATAAATAAATTTTTTTTTAATTTTTCACATGGACTAGGTGTGGTGCCACAGGCTTGTAATCCCAGCTATTCAAGAGATTGAGACAAGAGAATGACAAGTTTGAGGCCCTGAGTTCAAGTCCTATGATCAGCAAGATAAAAACAAACAAACAAAAATATACCAGGGCTTTACAAGGGCACATTAATGCTGTTTTCTGGAGTGGTAGAGCTCACTCATAGGTGCTTGCCTCATATGCTCACGACCCACTGAATAAATAAATAATCTCTACAGATTTCACACAATCTCCACGCTACACGGAGAGAAGCTACATAAAGACTTGGATATAACATCTATATTCGCTACTGGAATTTATTTTCAAAACATTAATTATTCTAGTACACTAAAACTCATAAATCAGAGTTCTCAAATGTGGAACAATCCTTGAGGTGAACCACAGAAACATATCAACAATTCTCAAGCCCTGCAGACATCTTACTTTGTTGGAGAGACCACCTCAAAGCAGAAGCGCCGTTCGATGTCTTCACAGTGCTTCACCGTGCAGAGCCTGAGGTCTTCCACCACCACGGTGGGGCTGTCCTGCAGCGAGGAGGCAGACTCAGGGTTATTACCTCAGCTCTCAGCCCCACCAGCAACCGAAAACATGAGACGTGCTTCAGAAAATGGCTTCGTTTAAAAGCTCTCTACTTTATCATGATGTTGCTATAAACAGGAGTTATGAAGACGTACGCTAATGAAGGTGGCCTATATTGTGCATTTAATCTGTCCCATCAAACTACTATCTGCACATTAAGTGCACTCATTTGTAGAAAAAAATTGGCCCACACCTGGCATTTAATAAGTATTCAAAACAATTGCCTCCTTGTTGGCCCCTTCCATACCACTCCTGTTCATTACTCTTTAGGGTCCCACCCACATACAGAAAACACTTTCTCCCCAAGGAGAAACCTTTAGTGAATCATGTTTTAAACAGCCCAAGAAGAAACAAGAAATTCTTCTTAAAATTTTTACAAGAGAGATAAAAGATTTTATCATTTTCTTAATTAAAATGTTAGTACAAAAATCAGAAGAAAGCACCAATGGATTTAAGTACAAAGTTCACAAAGCCTGCAGCCATCTCTCAAGGAGTGGGTACCTAACATTTCTGGTTCACAGCCTATCACTCAAAGGTAACTATGTGGAAAGCAAGCTACCAATTAATTAATAAATGGGTCTTTATTTCCAATGTCTAGCATTCTCACAAGCCCACCCCAGTATAGCTTTCCAATACATAAAACCCCTTACTTTGAAATAAGGCTCAAGAAAACAAATACACAACACAGTAGTAACAAAGGGAGGCCTTCCTACTGACATTATTAGCAGTGTGTATTTTGATTTCTGTCATTTTAAAGCCTTCTATACTACCACCACTGGTCCTAAGATCATGCTTACTAAAGACTGTCAGCAACCTCAAAATAGCACTATGGGACTGCAGGCTTACTCCTGCCACACAACTATTTAGTAAAATAAAGATAATGATCTTGCTACATGAAACACATCAAAGCTAGGAACTAAGACTTCAGAACCGGAGCTGGAGAGGCTCAGTGGTTACGAGCTCTTGCAACAGATGGAGTTCGGCTCAGGCAGCTGACACCTGCCTGCTAACTACAATTCCAGGGATCTGATGCCATCTTCTGACCATCACAGGCACCACACTCGAGTGTACAAATTCACACTCAAGACATACATATTGACACAACTGTGAATAAAAATAAAATCCTAATGAAAAAAGGTGGAGATATGTCTCCGCAGTTAGGAACACTGGCTATTCTTCCAGAGGACCCAGGTTCGAGTCCCATCTGTAACTCCAGTTCCATGCAAGCAAAATACCCATACACATTCAAAGAAGAAAAAAAAAGTATTCAAAAGATTTTATAATGGGAGCACTGAAGAAACGGCTCAGCCTCTAAAGGTGCTTATTGCTCAAAGGAGCACAGCTGGACTCCCAGCACCCACAACCACCCGTGACTCCCACTCCAGGGCCTCCAACAGCACTGGTCTCTGTGAGCCCCTGCACTCACATGCACACAGATGCAGTCACACACAATTAAGAAAATAATGCAGGGCACAGTGACACAAGCCTTTAATCCTATCACTCAGGTGACAGGCTACCAGATCTCTGTGAGTCGGAGACCAGCCAGGCTTGCACAGTGAGTTCCAGGTCGGCTAGGGCTGCATGGGGAGACTACGCCTCTGGGGGCACCGCAGTCACATGCACAAACTTGTACTCAGACACACATATACACACAAATGAAAAGAAACCTTTGCTTTTCAAAAAAAAAAAAAAAAAAAGAAAAGAAAAGAAAAGAAATTAGATTTCAAATCCCTCCACTTTTAAGGATCAAGGGTTACCAGGCCCCACTCCACTTGTTATAGTACCAAACATAAGATCAGAAAGAAGTCGTTTCTAAAAATTTGCAGGTGGTATTTATGGAATTCAGTATTCACTGAGACAAAGGGATAAGAACGAAAACTAAAACTCATCACTTTTCACTTTATTGCATAACAGAGCACCTACCTTAAACTTTTTCTGGTAAACCAACTGATTGTTCTGTATGGAGAACCAGCGTCTAGACGGAAAGGAGACAAATTAAAGATCGCACGCACGTGGTTACTCTCAAGGTGGGAGTGAACTAGAAACCTGTTTAGAGAAGTGCATTGCTTTGCTTTCAAAACTGAGGCATCTGGGATCGCTACTGACAACTGAGAATAAGCATCTTTAAGAGAATCACAGTTCAGGGAGACAGATCTACTGTTTTGCTTCATTTAACTTTATGTCATATTATATCTTAACAAAAGCTTTTATTTTTCCTGCTAAGACCATATAATAATTATTTTTAAAGTACAAACTTACAGGGTTTTTTTTTGAGGTGCTCAAAATAATTAAAATCTTTCTCTCAAATACCTACATTTATGATATAGAAAACTTAACACTGTGAATAAAATGTCCACTTATGAAAGTAAAATATTAAGATAAATGGTAACTTATTTTTGCCCCTTCAGAAGCTTAATTCAGCAAATGTTTGATCTGATCAACAAATAGAGACTAATAACTTTGAACTGTACCAACGAGGAGATGATCACAAACTTTATTTTATATAAAACACTTCTTGGGAAAATAATGTTACCACATAGAATCCCACCAACTGTGTAAACGGCTCTCCTCATCACTGTTAACTGATGAGGAGAACAATTTGCTCCCAATGTCCTTCAGAAAAGAGGCTGGGCAGTGCAAGCCATGTGCACCGATTCTAATTTATTAAAGTAACAAAAAGAACTAAAGACATACAAAAAAGTAATAAAAATCACAGTCAAAAGCCATTCATAAAAAAAAAAAAAGCCACACTTCTCACCAAGCACGAAAAGTGAACAGTATTTGAGCTGTTATTTTTAAATTAGTTTCAAATGAGATGTTTTTTTCAATTAGTTTATTAATCTATTAGCAGACAGAGATTCTACCTTTTCATTGATACTAATACAAAGTACTAGAGATTGTACTTAGGTGTCTTGAATGTCTATTTTTAAATTTTTAGTTATTACTCAAAAGCTGAGAAAGCATCCAGAAGAAGCCTCAGCGTTTCTTAGGCCTTTTGCTGGGTGTGTAGGCTTTCTCGCCACTTAAAGACGTATCACCTTTTTTAATGAACGAGAGTTTTGTTAAGTAAGCGTCTAAATAAAACAAGGTGGGCGCCGCTGAGTGCAAATCAACAGACCAGAAAAGGAAGAACTTCCAGGGTCTTGTGCAGGGCAGACAGCTGTTAGAGACGTTAGAGGGGACTCCTACACACAGACAAACGGTGCACCTTGCCTCGTGGATGACATGCAATGGAAACAGTCTCTGGATCTGATAAAGTGTTGTTTTAAAACTCATTTGAGGAGGGTGAACTGCATTAATAAAAATGTATAGACTCAACGTCATAGTAGTTATCTTACATAGTTTGGGGAAAACTACAGTTTTATTGAGCACTGGGAAGACATCCATCTGACAACGCAAACTTTTCATGCTTCTGAGGTCCTCAAAATTATTTTTTTCTTTTGACCTAGCCCATCTTAGAGCAGTGTTCCCTACAAATAATCATCATCATCTTCTAGATAGAAATGTGTCTGTTCCATCGGGGACCATTCCCTTTGCTTATTAACCTTATGGAGCGTATGTATTTCTGAGGCTCAGTTTCCCTGACATTTATGTGTTTCCAGGTGACATTCTGATATCACTGGGTTTTATAAAATACTTAGAAAAGGCAGTACAAATTTCTCCTCATTTTCAGTCTCCTTAAATAAACATAATAATATATCATAGGTAGAGGAAAATGAATTACAAAGATGTGTTTGCCTGACACAATCTTCCTTCTACTACCACTAAAACCACACATTTAACATCAACTAGAACTTTAACCAGGTAAGGGAATACAGTTGATGTTTTACATATATATATATTTAGGGAGCTATCTACTATCTAACCCCTTTGGACAGGTCTCTTATACTCACGAAGTGGGCTGGCCAGATGGCCATGGAGCCCTGGAGATCTGCTTGTCTCTGCCTCTCCAGTCCTGGGAGCATAAGCCGTTAGCTCAAACTCCAGGCCACATATTCACAAGATAAGCGCTTTACTGTAGACTGAAGAGAGTTTTCAATTGTTCTGGAAAGTATTCCTAGTGACTATTAATATTTCCAAGAAAGGGCAGCCCATGAATTACACACACACACACACACACACACACACACACACACACATACACACATACACACACACAAATACTCAGTATTTGAAGCACTTGGTACAGGAAATTTTAAAGTACTTCAAAAACTACAACTAGATTCAACAGACAAGATCTGGAAAGATCGTGCTAACCCAGTACACAGTCTACAAGACTAAAATATGGAGCACAAACTATAAGACAGTTTCTAATTTCCTATGGGTAAGAAAAGTTAAGATATTTTGTATCTACCTCAAATAGAAGTAATTTAGAACAGCACATTACATTATTTTTAAAAAATAAATACTATTACATACCAAGGAGAACTTCCAGGTGACAAAATTTGGGTCAAAAGAAAAAAAAAAGACATTTATAAAAATCAAAAATATTTTACCATGTTTGCTCTTAATATAAAAAATATCGGTAAAAGTCACAGTTCTGAATCTCATGAAGCTTTATAACTAAAACTATATAAGTTATAGGTTCATATATATTCATATATATATATTCAGGAGCTAGATAAATATTTAATACAACTTAAAAACCTAATGCATTGGTTTTGTTTTTTCAATTCAATTTGTTGTTTTCATGGGTATAAAGTGGTAAAACAAGAAAACCTTTGAGCTGACAACAAATTCAACATAATCAGCTCATCCCAGGGACTCAGCCCAGCTCTGCTCGGTCTTGAAAACAGTTTGCTACTTAATGTCCCTCACTAAAACACACACACACACACACACACACACACACACACACACACACACACACACAAGCCATAGGATATTCCTAGCACTCAGTCTGCATCTGTTGTGGCTAATTTTAAACATGACAACTGTCCCTTCCCATTTCAATTCAACTAAGGACATGGGCAATTAGAAGATATAATACTCTTCCTCAAATGAATGTTTCTATTTTATTTCCAATTTAGAGCATGAAGTGATTTTTTTTTTTAATCCATTGCAAGTAATCCAACTGAAAGCAGGTTAATTAGGTGCTTTCTCGTGCTACAGAGGACACTGGGTAAGAAGAGGAAGGGCGGGAAGCTATTTGGTACCTGATATGATCGGGCTTTTTCCTGTCATGTGAAAAAATGGGGCAGGGTTAAAACAAAAGGGAAAGGTGTAAAAGAAAGAAAATGCAAATGCGCAAATAAGCAAAGGATGACACAAAAACAAAACAAAAAATTAAAGAAACAAGCTTAAGCTAATACCCTAATATTGCAGTCAGAAAGTATGTGTGTTTTATTTATGTATTATAAATAAATGCATTTCATAGGACTTCAATTCTTAGGAAAATGAAATACCTTGAAAATATCTGAATTATGATATTACTATTACCTTAAAGATCTATTATGAATTTCTGCCTCTATGGTCATAACTAGAAAATACAGATAGTATTGGGCCAACTCACTAATACGATGTGCCTGGAAAGTGGGTGGAAAGTCACTTCACGTTTCTCTACAGAAGCCTTAAGGTATAAAAACTTCTTGGAAGGAAAGAGAGTTCGGCCATAAAATGCTGACTGAATCAGCCCTTCCACCTGCCCACACCCATCCTCACTAGCTGATCACAGAGACTCCATGGCCACATATAAACACAATTATTTGACTAGTTTTAGGGGAGAGGGGGAGGAGAAAGGTGGAGACAGGCTGAGCTGTGCAGTCCAGGCTAACCTTGCACCCATAATCCTCTTGCCTCCCTGCTCCCAGGATCTATAGGTATGCACACTCTACCCAGCATACTCATCTTTAGTCTGTGTACATTCTTCTTACTTTAAAACAAAAAGCCAATAAAAACATTTCTATCTGTACCAGCAACAAACAGAAAAACTTTGTATAATACATTTTACGCACTGGGTTATATTTTCTGATCCAACAAAGGAGTCTGCTTTTTTATTAGCCTTTCCAACTTAGTGTTAAATTATGTTAACAATTATTTTGTTGTTCCTCTTTTGCAAACTCATTATAAAAAGCAAAAGAGAAACCTAGGTTCCAGTGTTTAAAGTCTGAACTAAAACTGCCATACCAAGATGACTTAATAAGAAAGCTCACTGTGCCGGGCGTGATGGCGCAGGCCTTTAATTCCAGCACTCTGAAAGTAGAAGCAGGCAGATCTCTGAGTTCAAGGCCAGCCTGGTCTATAGAGCAACTTCCAGGACAGCCAGGGCTACCCAGAAATCCTGTCTCCAACAGCCCCCACCCCACCCCACCCCATCCCCAACAAAAAGAAGAAAGAAAAAATGAAAAAGAAAGCTCACTGTAGCAGACCAAAGTATAGTGCTTGGTTCTAGGACCCAATCACACATATCTGAATCTGCGGATGCTCAAGTTCTTGAGGATAAAATGTAGCATTTGCACAGAATCATAACATCTGAGAGCATGAGTTTGTAAGGGAAAGACAAATAAGAGGAAGAGGGAGAAGAGGAGAGACTGTGTATGTGTTGGGGGGTGGATATAAGTGTGTATGTGAGTGTGTATGTGAGTGTTTGCCTGTGTGTATGTATAAGTGTGTAGGTGGATGTGTGTGTGTGTGTGTGTGTGTGTGTGTGTGTGTGTGAATATGTGTGTTTGTAAAACTCTTGCCACGCTGCTCTCTTCTGGGCTCAGCTGATTTTCCCACCTGAGCCTCTTGCATTAACTGAGACAATACGCCTGTTTCCCCCTAATCACTCCTAGATTTACTTATGATTGCTGTTATAATGTAAGTGCTAACTAAATAGCATAATTGTATTGTTTACATAATAACTTTTTAAAAAGTTTCTGTAAGTATAGAGATTTTTTTTTCTTCCAAAACTGATGGTTTCTAGTTGGGTGAGTCCACAGTGTGAGATCACGCAGCGGGCTAACACTGTAATCCGTTTATATGCTGAGCTGCCACAGACATTGAGAAGATATAAGATTGGCAATGCATACAGGTCATGAACTTTTCATTCTTATTCCGTCGGCTCTCATACACAAAACACGATTTTTATGCTACACTATTTAATATGACAGTACTATTAACGTAAAATTGTAATTTATGAAGCACAAGGGAGATTGTTTTAACTATTTGGAAATTAATAATGACTTAACATATCCCTCAGAATGGAGAGCTTTAATAGCTGGTGCTGGAAACATGACATAACTTCATCAAATTATAGATAAGATCAAATGCATCATTATATGATTGATTGATGCCTTATGGTAGTTACAAAAATGAAAAACTTTCCTTGAAACTAATCAAACAATATTTTCTAAAATATCCTTAAGCAGTGGGTAGAAAAGCGTGATCTCTGACAAGGCAGATTCTGAGGCTTTTAACGTTAAGGAATGGATAGTCTGACTCAGAGGCGGTAGAATGTATTACAGTAAATTAGATGAAAAACTAGGGAAGACACTAAACCAAACATGGATAAAAGAAAATGACTTCCATTTCCTGCGATTAGATTTCTGAAATGCCTAATTTAAGAAGTGTAAATGCATTTGCAATTTTTAATATTAATAATACCAGAGGAAAGCTCTCAGTAATACTCCAAGGATTCCTGGTCCTTCTTCTCCCATCTATATAACTCCTTTCAGCAATATTTTGCATATGATCGGTCCCCAAAGGTTTTGCACTGATCTGGCTCACAGCTTGGCACCAGTAAGGGTGGTGGAATACTCCAGAGGCTGGGCCTTCTGCTGCTGAGTACATCATTGAGGGCACTGCCTGAGCAAGGGATCAGTGGCAATCTCCTGAAGTAAGTCTGCTGTCTGACAATGGTCACTTAAAAAGAGAGAAGGCAGAGCCTGTCCTGCTCTCTGGCTTCCTGGGTCCACGTAAGATCTCAGCCACACAGCTCTGCTACTGAAAGAGCCGCTCAACGCAAGCCCTCAACATGTCTCCCAATCTTTAATCTCCAGACTACAAACGATGAGAAAAATGAATCCCTCATTTCAATCCTCTCGCTAAATCTCCATCTCCTTACTGAAAAATAAGTTGACCTACAGTCTGAGATTCTGATGGTCACAGAGAGCCTAGCCCTTTGAACAGCTAATACCCTTCCATCCTGCAGACCCTAGCACATTTACAACAGGGAATTTACAGAGGCTCCCGACCTAATCTTGTTTTAGTATCAATGCAGCTGATATGATTCTTAAAACAGATGAAAAATGATAAGATCTGCATCTGATCTACTGATTTTATTCTACTGAGCTGAGCAGCCAGAGAATTCTCCACTAAGACCCACTGTGTATAGGCTGGAGTCTGAGATCAAACTTCTCCCTGAAGTTGTCCGAGGAAATTCACTTCTCTTTTTAACATAATGGTTATATTTCTGGGGATTTACTGTTTTTGTTTTTGTTTTCACTTTCTTAAGCTTTAAAAATGTAGTTTGTAAGTCTGAAGGTTAAATTTCAATTCTAACATTACACTATAAACCTATATTGGCTGAATAATCTTATTGTAAAATTTACTACATACCAATTGCTTCTAGTTTTCTATACTAACTATAAAATTGTCAAGAAGGACTTAGAAGGACTATTGTTTTACGTTTTAGCTCATAAAACAATTTTAATTTTTCATTTCCACAGTATAACAACTAGAAGCATTATTGATAACGAAATCACTACTGCTGGTTCTCTAGTACCTACATCTTATTTAAAAGTTCTACATAACTCAGAGACTTAACAGTAAATATCGCTATTCTTTCCAGTTTACATTCACTCTCGGATGAAGAAAAATACTTCAAATAAAACCACGTCCCATTTAGATTTTCTACATAATAAAATACTAGAGAAGTGCTCAATAAACCACTGACATTTAAAAATGTCACTGAATGCTTTTGACCTTCAGTCCCAACACATCTAAATAAGAACAATCAGAACCCATTTCAACACAGCATTGGGAGTCCCATTTAAGTTAACAAAATGGATGCCAAATGAACGTACTGAGAAGACCCTCCTATTTTAGTATTATTCATCTTAAGGCACAGCCATCTCCATCACTGCTGAGTGCCTGACCTCTCCTAACACAGGAGAAGACATGTCAACCAACCCTGCAACAGCAAGTCAGGTACCCAGAACACATACACTACTCTCCATTATTGAAAATTTGTCCTTTATTATTTAAACAAAAAGAAAAAAAAAAAAAAGGCAGCCTTGACTAGACCAGTCACTAACATCCAGAAGGAAAACCCTGAGCCATACAGCCTTTCAATGCTACTTAGCATAAATTTATTTCACTTATCATATTAATATGGTAAAATATTTTATATATTCTTTTTTGTTGTGTTTTGCAATTTTTGATATAATATTTTATTATGCAACCCAGGCTGACCAGGAACTCAAATTTCTCCTGCCTTAACTCCTGATAGGAGATTACAGGTATTCCCATGACATCTGGCTATAATTCTAATAAGACATTCAATAGTTTTATATTTTATAAAAATTAATTCAGCAAATATTAAAATTTAGTGATAGCCATCACATTTATAATAAAGAAAGAATGGCCACCAGGACTTCCCATGTCCCACTGAAGTGTTATTACAAGGTGAAAAGATAAGGGTCACCTGAGTTTTAGACCCTTAAGTAAATTTTGTTTCATGGTTTTGTTTTGGTTTTTGGGTTTTTGTTTTTTTCCAATATAGGGTTTCTCTGTGTAGCCCTTGCTGTACTGGAACTCCATCTATAGACCAGGCTAGCCTGGATCAGAAAGATCTGTCTGCCTCTGCCTCCTGAGTGCTGGGATTAAGATTGCTGAAATTAAAGGCATATGGCATGGCTGCCACCACTGCCACCTGACCACAAGGAAATTCTTTGAAATATGTATATAATGAGAATTTAGTCATCATAAACCAAGTATTACAAAAATTCTAGTTTCTCCTTTACGCCTTAAGTTTCAAATCTAAACACCTTGTATTTTCACTTTTTGCCTGACCCCTAAAATGCATCTTTCCTCTGGTGGGCTCAATTAAAGAAAGTTACTAAGGAATCTGTAGAATTCAGATCATTCTGGGGAAAATGAGTTGCCAATTACAGGGAAAGGCAGAAATGGCAAACACATTAGCATCAAGACTAACGTCTGAAGTCCATTACCTGTTCCACGTTTTGAAGGCGTTGCTGGCTCGTTTGAACAGATACCCTTCCATGACAATGCCATTCGCAGCATCTACATTATACTCTAGCTTGGAATCATCACTGGAGAAATCCTAGACAAAATAACACACACAAGTTCAGACGACTGTGTTCCCAGAAAAATACATTTATTTAGGAAAAAGACTTTTTAAAAAGTTTGGAATAAGACTTATGGTAGAAAGGGGGAAAGAAACATGATAACTGAGATGTGCTTCAACAGATTAACAATTCAGGGCAATATGGTGGAACAGTTAAGATGATGATGGAATACACAACTATGTAAGACATGCTGCAGAAAGAAGAGAAACTCTAAGAAAAGTAAAAATAAAACACAAACAAAGATGCAAAGAAAAGAACTAAGCATTATACAAGCATTATGTCTAAAGGCATTCAGTGTGGCCAATATTCTATGGCCATACATGTTCATTTTAAATGCATGTCAATATAGTTCATTGGAATTGTCTGAATCTATCTTTATTTCCTAAACATATCACTACCGTGGCATCTCTTAAATGTAAGTTCAGAGATGGGATAAAACACTAGAGAATATTTCCACAAAGTATAATTTCATTGGCATAGGGAAAGGGCTTAAAGAGGCAAATCTGAAGCAGGCATGCTGGAGTCACTTTTCTGTACAGACAACAGGATCACAGTTGGTTTTCTATCCAGCCCTGTAAGCATATGCTCAATGCAATTCAAATTTCCAGCTTTTCTCCAGTTTCCAAAGTTTAAATCAAGAGTCAATGGGCTGGAGAGATGGCTCAGAGGTTAAGAGCACTGGCTGTTCTTCCAGAGGTCCTGAGTTCAATTCCCAGCACCCACATGGTGGCTCATAACCATCTATAATGAGATCTGGTGCCCTCTGCTGGGCAGAATAATGTATAAATAATAAATAAACATTCTAAAAAAAAAAAACAAAAAACAGGAGTCCAATTCTTAAAATATTCCAAAGTATTTTGAACAAAACAACAAAGTAGCTGGTATCATAGCAAACTCAAAATGATAAAAATAAGTCAGATTTTTTTAAACTTAACACTTATTTTATTTTGTGTGTGTGTGTGACTATCTGCTCATATGTTTAAGTACCTGTTTCTCTCTCTCTCTCTCTCTCTCTCTCTCTCTCTCTCTCTGTGTGTGTGTGTGTGTGTGTGTGTGTGTGTGTGTGTGTATGGTCTGGAGGGTACCCTTGGAGGCCAGAAGAGGGTGCTGAGTTGTCTGGGCCAGAACCGCAGGTGGCTGTGACCTGCTCACAGCTGGGGACAAGCTCTGGTTCTCTGCAAGAACAGCTCTTAGCAATCAGGCACGGCTCAGCCCGGACAAAGACCTCCGCCTCGCTTGACATTCTTTTGGCAGAGACTGGGTGACACACAGCTGTGAGAAACCAGCATTGGAGGGGAGGCAGCGTGAGAGTCACCCCAGGGCTTCCTAACATGAATGTGCTAAGAATGTGAAGAGGAAACAGGTTGAATTAAGACTTTTTTAAATTCTGGGTATCTTTCGGTTTTAAGCATAAAAAGCCAAGCTAAGCATGAATCATATTTCTGCCTACTTTTTCTTTGGGAATAAAAGAAAGAAAGAAAACATTAGTTCCTTCATTAAAACTTTAATTCTGTATGGACATCTATTTCCTAAAATTCCCATTACCCTGTGTGTGCACTCGTGTACATGTGTGCACGCGTGTGTACACAAATGTGTGGGGCTGAGACTGAACTCAGTACTCCAAATACAACAGGCAAGTGCTCTGCCCCAAACACATTCACATACCTGAGCCATCCTCCACAGCAGAAGGCATTGCATCAGTGACAGACCTGACTGACTTTTGCAATATATATGGATGCATGTATGTCTGCTGCGTGTGTGTGTGTGCATGTTTGTATGTACTGTGTACGTGTGTGTGTGTGCGCGCACAAGTTCTTTCACTACACCTGGAGCTCACCAATTTGGCAGGACTAGCTGCCAGGCAAGCTCCAGGGGTCCGCCTGGCTCCGTTTCCCTAGCACTAGTCTCGCAGGTGCAGGCCATGGCTCACAGCTTTTTACAGAGATCCAGGGAATCTGCCCGCAGCCCTCACTTCTGTAACATCTTTAAAGGTTTCATGTGCTTTCGGTTTCAGTTTTCATTTTTATATCTTAAGTTAGCATAGAATATAATGGGTTTCGTTCTGACATATTCATATGTGTACACTTCATGTACTTGGTATTAATATATTAATCTAGATTCCACATAAGGAAAAAACTTACTATTTATCCTTCTGATTCTTGCCTATTGTTTTCTGCTTCTACCCATCTTCCGACAGATGACATAACTTTATTCTTCTTTAAGGCTAATGGAAGCTGTGCACACGTGTATGTATGTTCCTTAGCCGTGTCTGCTGACAGACACCTGGACGACTCCACACCTTGGCCACTGTGAATAGTAGCAATTAACACACTGCGTCTGTGCAATGTGCTTCCTTTACATGCCTCAGGTGCGGGCCCAAGTGTGGTGGGGCAGCTGCCACCACAGCATAGTTTTAGTTTCCTGGGGGGACTAAATGGTTTTTTTGTTGTTGTTTTTGTTTTGTAACATCTGTAGGCTCTTAGTAATCATTGTGATACTCAGAGCATAGGGCTAAGAGGGCTAGGGTACAATGGTAGTGTGCTTGCCAACATGAAAACAGTAACAAGAAATAAGCTTTCCTTGAATGGGCAATGACTCCAACTGTCTATTTTCAACTACTTCTTGAGATAGATGAGTCTTCCGTCTAAGCGTCACTAATGTCCCTTAATAAGTACGCAGATGTAGCACGCTGCAGTAGGTTCCCTAAGAAAGCAGCTGGACAGACTGGCTGCGGCATGGCTGCTGGAATCTCTGCAAGCATGTTCACAACCTGACAGTTAGGAGGGAACACTCAAAGGAAACTGGAGAAGATGAAAACCAGAAGACAAAGAAGTCAACAGAGGAAGGGCATCTGCCTCTCAGGGAAGGTGGAAGCTTTGCTTTCTCAGACATGCAGTGCTATCAAACTTTACTGCAAAGCTGATGGCAGCTAAGACAACAATGTGTTGGGACAACTAAGACAAAACGACAAGGGGGTGGAAAACACAGCCCAGAAGCACGGGATGGAGGAGGCGTGGGCTGTGACAGGTGTTGTGTCGCAGAACGTTAAAGGAGGGCGCTGTTGTAACTTGCCCGGATCAACAGGCTATCGGCAAAAGGAAAGCAGATCTCTACCCGCTACACACAAGAATCCGGCTGCACATGAATTAAAGAGCTACGTGCAAGGACTGGGACTACAGCTCTGGGGCAAAGTGCCTGCCTGTCACACGTGAGGGCTAAGCTCAATCCCCAGCACCACTACAAAAATGTGAACGATAACACAAAGGCGTAAACATGAAAAGCAAACCTACGGGGGAGAGGTGCGCATGGTCTTGTGATGGGAACTGCAGAACAAGCTAACAAAAGCACCTGACACAGGGCTGAGAACCGTGAAAATCTAGAACACGTGTGTCTACAGTATATGAAGGACCTGGCCATCAGGTAGTTAGGAAGCCTGGCAGGAAAAAGGAAAAAAGGGGAGTAGGTAGTTCACAAGCTGGGAATACAACCGATAGACGCAATTCACTTGTCACGAGCAGTGAATAAATTAAAACCACAGTGAGGTATCCATGTCCACGGCACAGTGATGAGGACAGCGGGAACTCTCAGCGCTCCCCACGGATGCCCTCGCCACACTGGGCGCGCGCACACACACACAGTGTCTGCTACAACAGCTGTATGCCATCAGTGTGTACATCTATCCAAAGGTGTGCAAAGGCACGGACAGGACATATGGGCCACTCACAACAGCACTGTTTCTCAGACTGATCAATGTACTTGTTAAAACTCCTTTTAAAAGGTGTATCAGAAATGCTTTCCCTTAAATTTTAGTCAACTGGACTTTTTTTTTTTTTTTCTTTACCTGTAATGCAGCCTGTGTCAGCATTTAGGGGCAGAGAAAGTATTCACAATGAGTAAAAACAGCATTATTTTCTTAAAAGAAAACAGTGTATGTTGTTTAAAGTTAAATAATCTCAGATTTAATATTTACCAGTTTGAGGCCTTCAGTATAATACTAAACTATGTATATAATAATGAAAGATTTTATATATATATACACACATATATATATGTATAAACTTAACCAACAATCACATATTTCTATAAAAATAATTAGTCATTTTACTAAAAAAAAAAAATGATTCCACTTTTAGCAATCACTTGACAGTAATGCCATTAAAAAGAAAAGCTAATCATCAAAATGTCATGTTGTATACGCTAAACACAAAGAAGAGACGGGTAAAGCAGTGCATGCCTGCAATCCCAGCGCTCAGGAGGCAGGAGTGGAAGGGCTGTGAGCTTGACGCTAGGCTGGGAAATAAAAAAAGATCATCTTTGTTTGTCTGGAAACTGGGTTTCTCTGTGTAGAACTGGCTGTCCTGGAACTTACTCTGTAGACCAGCCTGGCCTCAAACTCACAGAGATCCCCCTGACTCTGCTTCCCAAGTGCTGAGATTAGAAGCATGTGCCACCATGAATGGCTTAAAAGATCACATCTTTAAACAAAACAAACAAACAAACAAAAAAATGGAGTTACCTTCATCCTATAATAACTAAAAGTAACTGATTTAAAGATGGCCTAAGAGAAAACTTTTCTAAATGTTATTTCTCTTTGAGCATGAAATAATCCATTCATTATTTTTCTTATACTTGCTACTGATTTTGCTTTCATTTTCTCCCATTCACATCTTCTATATCAGATCTTATCTAAGAATCTGTAATCAAAGATGACCAAATTCCTTATTATCAAGGACAGGTTTCCTACAGCATGCAGAAGGAACTTCATGTAACTGTATTCAATCCCTAATTTCCTTTTATGCTCGATCACTGCATAAATACATCACAGACTGGTTATGATAAAGTACTAACAGGCCATGCTTCAAAATGGCACACTCAATATCTGCATGAAGAAATACATAAAAATTTACTATTGAATTCTCATTTTCAAAAACATTTCTCAAAAAGTAGCTTGGCTAGGCTTCAGCAATTCAACAAGCAATGAGGGTTCAGATGGGCGGTGTTGAGCTGCCTGGAGTGGCTGCACTTTAAGTCACTAACACTGACAGAGACAGAAAAGAGAGAAAGGGGAATGTGCACATATTCTCTCTCTCTCTCTCTCTCTCTCTCTCTCTCTCTCTCTGTCTCTGTCTCCCCTCTCTTGCACACATGCGCGCTTACATGCACAAATGCTTGGGCAGGAGGTTGTCAGTATCCTAAAAATAAAACCATAAATAACATTGAAAATTGTAACAAGGTGCAACCTTTAGTTAAGCTCCTGACAGCATTTATAAACTGGTTCAAAAACATAGTTTACAAATATTTTCATCTGAAGAAATAATAAAATTTTTTTACTTTGCACAAAAATAAGGATTTCCAGTAAGAAGCAACTGAAGAGCTATGTGTAACAAGGGTAGCTTGCACACACTAACATTCTCATCAGCAGAAATCAATCTAAGTGCCTTGTGTACCTTCTGTTGGATAGTAGAATGCTTTTGCTCCATCTCCCTTTTCTCCTTTGCAGCATCCACAACCAGTCGATCCAACTAAAGCAAAGAAGAAAATTATAGACTTAAAATTCAAAGAAACAAAGAAAAAAATTTAAACCATATTCCAAGCCATTTTACAGATAAATAAAAATCACTTATTTAAAGTTAACCTAAAAATGCAGTTTTGGCTAAACATTTAAGTAGAAGTTCACATTTTTCTAGTATTAAATTCTTTTTGAGAATGCCCACGTCTTAGTGGAGAAGGCTTCCAAGCAGGAGGCCTTGACTTGAGGTCATGAGAGGAGGGCTACCCCTGCCCTCACCTGCTACAGCACTCAGGAGAGCAGTGTCTGTGCCTCGCCCAGACAGCACAGAAGCGTTGGCCCCCCAGGTCATGAGTGTGGGAGAACCGGCCCTGCCTCTTGTCTGCTGGGTGGTGGCACAGATGAGTGAGAGATGCCCTCGTCCCCTCCCTGGTCTCTCACCATCTATGGCAAGCATAAGAGCTGTCACAGGGTCATGGGAGTGGGAGAATGGGCCATGTCCCTCACTGGTTACAACTGTCAGGAGAGCAGGCCGAACACCTAACCTGCTCAATAAAAGGCACTGCCTGAAAGGGACGCGGGCCAAGACAGCAGTAAAATACATGCTCTTTGTGAAATAATAAATAACAAATGGTCATGGGCGCTTTAGGATCCTAAGACATTAGACTTCCATCACCCAAGTAGCCAATATAATATTTCAAAAATAAAAAAAGAGCAATGTCTTAAGTAAAAGCAAATTAGGACAGTGACTGGATTATTCAAGTTTAAGAAGTAAAGTACTAAACACTTGTACTACAGGGCAGACACATGAAAATCTCATGCCTCAGCCCCTGAGGGCTAGGATGACACTGTGTACACCACACCTCACAGGGGAGTTATTTTAAGTCTTGGTTTTCAGGAACCTCGTGTTCAATATTTAAGACAGGCATTGTTACCTTTAAGTTCATTTTTTTTGGTTCAACATTCAACCTACATGTGAATAGGCTGCAGTGTCAAACTCCTTATTAAGAAAATAAGAAGCCAGATTTCCCAATGGGATAAATATCTATGAAAACATAAATGTCAACCAGCAGTACAGAATCAAGAAATCCAGTTCAAAAGATTACCTGTGCTCCAAGATCCTTCATGTAGGGTCCGAGCTCACTGAACAGGTCGTACCCTTGATGGAAAAAGGCCAGATGTGCGTACATGAAGGACAGCATCTGGTAGGAAGACAAGAGCTTCAGATCCACTGCTAGAATCAGAAAGCTTGAGTCCTCACCATATTCAAGATCACTCCACAAGAACCTAAGGCATCAAACCTACTTTAAACCGAATTGCTTTTTTCCTGAGTGCTTCAAAAATATTTGCAAATACAAAGAGAATAAAATGTCTCTAAAAGAAATACACAGTGCAGAATAAGGGGAAAAGGACATATATACACACCTCGTAAGTAGCCAAAAAAATATACAGGAAAAATGATCAAACCCGGTACTAACAAAATGCAAACTCAATAATGAAATCTCTCTCTCTCTCTCTCTTTTGCCTATCACACCACTGGGCAAGGTGAAAAGATAGAGCTACAGTGTTAGCTGCTGGCAGTATCAATAGAAAAATGGCTTTTCTTACACACCACTGGTGAAAATAGTTTATAAGCTTCAAACTTTGGTGGCATTTTAAAAGCCTTTTCCACATTTGAAAACTTCGACTAGGAATAGCAAGATAGCCCAGTAAAGATGGCCCCCGATCCCAACACCCTGAGTTCAAGCCCCTGGCCCTACTCCCATGGTGGAAAAAGAGAATCTACTCCCACAAGCTGTCCTCTGACCCCTACATGTCCACCATGGGGGACACAAACACATAAAGAAGTAAATAAATACAGTATCTCTTATTTACAGACAAGTAACCCCTTGTCTATAAATGCAAATAAAGCAATAATCAGATGTTTTATTAGGCGGATCACTACCATGAAAAGTTTTTAATGTCAAAACCATGAAAAACTGTTTAGATATCCATTAAGGATGATCATCAATAGTATATTCAAGGCTGACTAGTTTGGACCTGCAAATTATACATCTGTTTTTAAATCGTTTATGAGCTGACAATTGTTTTTAAGTTTTTAAATGACTGAAATAAAATTTTTGAAACACATAAAATTTATGTGAAAATTATATGAAATCCAAACATCTGTGTTCATATATAAAGTTTTACTGAACACAGACATGACCAATTATGCACTCATCCATGGGTCCTCATTACAAGGACACGGGTGAGCAATTTGCAGACCACAGGGCTGCAAACCACACATATATCGACCAGCCCTTTATTTCTAGTATATTTGGTGGCAGAGTTCCAGCTGCCCACAGAGGCCATGATAAGATATTACTGTCTCCACATTGCTGGCAATCTGTAAAACATGGGGTGGGGGAGGGAAGGAGTGAGGGAGGCCGCCTCATATCAAACAAGTACAATATGGTTACCTGGTAAGACACCACAAAGCTTTAGGAAAGGGCAAGGGGGAGACAAAGGGCTAAGCCACTCAAGAGCAGCAACTGGGAACAAAACTTCTGCAAATAAACTAAGAGAAATTATCCTGAAGGTTCTCAAATGAGAAAGCGCTCAATGTCACAGTGTGCCTTCCTCACTTCCTTTGTCAAAGAGCAAATAAATTCTCACTGTCACCACAGATCAAAAAGACCAAAGAAGGGGTGAGGGGCTGCAGAGATGGCTCAGTGGTTAAGAGTACTATCTGCTCTTCCAAAGGACCTGGGTTCAAGTCTCAGGACCCACATGGCAGTTCACAACTGTCTGTAATGCCAATTTCAAGGGATCTGACACCTTCACACTAAATACACATTAAAAAAAAAATTAAAATTAAAAAAAAAAAAAAACAAAGAAGAAAGAAAAGAACCCAGTTTTGTGGCTGCAAACAAGGATCAGGCCAAAATAATAATAATAACAACAACAACAGGCCCCATCATCAGTCTGGGAACTCTGCAAGCCACAAGACTGAGACAAAACCTGGAGCTCAAACATTCTAAATGCCTAGACACCACATACAACCACGGAGGAGCATGAACGATGCTATGTAGACAATTTCTAAAAGCAAGGGCTGGAGAGATGGCTCAGCAGTTAAAGGCAACTTTCAGAGGACCTGGGTTCAGTTCCCAGCAAGCACATGGGAGCCTACAACTACCTGTAATTCCAGTTCCAGGCGGATCTGATGCCCTCTTCTGATCTCCGTGGGTACAAAACACTCATACATATAAAATAAATAAATCTAAAAAATATTTTTAAGAAAAAAATTGGCGCTAGAGAAACGGCTCAGTGGCTAAGAGCATCACTACTCTTTGGAAGGCCTTGAGCTCAATTCCCAGCACCCACATGGCAGCTTACTGATGCAGTCTGCTGGTGTGCAGATGTATGTGTAGACAAAGTACCCATATACACAAAATAACACAGATAAATAAATCTTTAAAATAGAAACTCTAAAAGCAAATAGAAATAAAGAGAAAATTCAAGGTGACAATCACATTTGATAAGTTTCAAGATCATTCTGAAATATCCTCCCCGGTTCTAGCCTCCACTGTGGCTACTTTCAGAAAGTATTCCGTAACTAGACCACATAAAACACTACATTAGAACAACAGAGATTGGAGCGCACACAGTGGGTCTGTCTTTGTGAACCAGGCACGTGGCAGCAAAAGACACACAAACAGCTGTACCTTGAAGCAGATGACACAGGAAATAGAAATGGGAGCTAAGAGAGCCTAGAGCGCTGGATAGAGTGCCATACGACAGGGCTACAAACAGACAGTCTCAGTGAATAGCATCTCATTAATATCTTACTGATTTCAGGATTTCTGATCTCCTTTTTGATTGAAGCACATTAATCTAAGGGAAGATACACTTGGTTAGTCATTCATGAATTACTTTGAACACTAATTCAGAATACAAGATTCTAAACATGCTTGTCCTAATGATCCCAAAACAAAAGGAAAACAAAGCTTGTATTTTTCATCTCTCTACCCTCTTTTGGCTAAAAGAGTTATGACAAGCATAGGAATGAATACTTAACCACATTCAGGCTCAGTGGAAACACTGGTTCTCAAGATTTCAGTATCGTGTTAGGGAACTGTTTTGATACCTAAGCTTGTGCCACGTCCATCTTCCTCTACCTCCTCATCTACCTGACCATCAAGGTTCAACCACAGCCTCAGCACTAATTATCACCATTTACCATCGTCTATCTTTTCTGGACTGGTTCTGTTTCCCTTCTTGGATCTCTATAATCTCCTCTCCTCGCAGGTACCAGAGTGATTTTCAAATATAAATCAGATATTATCTAGTTTCAAATCTGGCAACCTCCTACTATGCCCACAAAGGCCCCCTCTGCTGAGGCCGTGCCACCCTCTGGAGCCTCGTCTCCTGTTACCCTGAGCTCCCACCAGTACCCGTCACTGTCCCACAGATGCCTGGTCCCTCCACATCAGGATGTTCTGCCCTCATGACTTAGGACTATTCCTCAGTACTGAGCTTTCAACTAAACACCACCTTCGTTCACAGGTCTAAGCCAGCACCTGACTTGCTTTCTAGTGTATTAATCCTACTTACCTAAAACATTCAAGGCTATTTTTATTTGTATTTGTTTGTTTGTTTGTTTGTTTGTTTGGACACGGTTTTACCATGTAGCCCTGGCTATCCTGGAATTCACTACATAAACCAGGCTGGCCTCAAACTCATAGAGATCTGCCTGCCTCTGCCCTCCCCAGTGCTTACTTTGTGTTTTCTTTCTCTGTCTTTTCCCTAGTTAAAGTATAAACTCCATGAGATTGGGATTTTACTCTGAGTTCCCAGGCAGAACACAGCAAGCACTCATGAATATATGTTGAAGTAATGGATTTGTGTGTTTTATGACCGACTTACTGAAATACCAACAATGTCTAGGTTTTTGGGGGTAGGGTTGAGGCTTGGCTGGCAGAATGCCTGCCTTCAGGCTCGCAGCCCTGCATCTGCCCTCGAATGCGGCCCGTGCCCTAGAATGGCAATCTCAAACGCCTCTCTCCCAGCACAGCCCGCCACTGTGCTGCCCTCCAGAGGGAGTCATCCCTCAAAAGGACTTTGGGCCTCATCTTCCAAAGCAGCCAGTGAATTCCGGAAACCTTCGGCAGTTGGTGAAGCTGGTGCCGCTGAGAACATATGGAGCACATGTGTGCCTGGAGGCAAAGGAGAGCAGGTATCTCACCAGGGAAAGTGTTTCTCACGGTGAGTTTCCTGAGAAGCTGGTGTTTAGGGTGTATGTTTAGAAACAGTAATAAAAGCATTGAAAAATTGGAAAAAAAAAAAAAAAAAAGATAGACATTTTCACTGTTGCTAGTAAACACTGACACTATTTAAGCCTGGTTATCAAAGAGCAATTAAACTGAAGTAGGAATGTTACAGAATGAACTATTTGTAGGATATTATTACCAAATAAAAAGGAGAAAGAAGTCAGAACCAAAGACATCTACATCCACCTACGTGTGTGTGTGTGTGTGTGTGTGTGTGTGTGTGTGTGTGCATGTGCGTGCACAAAAAATACAGACAGGTAAAAGTTTTCCGTAAAATGCCATGTTTCCCACTGGAGGCGACAATGTATACCTATAGCCCAGCACTGTAAAGACTGAGGCAGGAAGACAGATATCAAGTTGAGGCCAGCCTAGGCTACACAGTGAGTTTGAGGCCAGCCTGAGCTAACTCAAAAAAAGAAAAAAAAATAAATTACAAAAATTTTAAATGGTGTTTTAATTGTAAGTTCAAAGAGAAAGCATCCTTTATTCTTTCTAGTGTAGTCACTCAAAGGAGCCTGCTACGTAAAAACGGCTGCTGGAAGACTGAGGAGACGAGGTACCTGAAGGACGTAGTCAAGGGCTATGTGCCGGAAGCACTTCCGTGTGGCTGTGAGGATGTTCGTGGCCTCTTCAACCTCATGTTGTTTGTTTCTTTGAACTTGGGCATTTTTCACTAGCGCATTTTCCTTTTCTTCACTGACTTTTTCAAATTGTTTCTTGGCATCTTTGAATTTTCTAAGATCTCTAAAAAAAAAATAAAAATTTAGTGAAACTTTCTTCAAAACTCTAGAAAAAAATAAAAACCCTGAGACTTTAGCTAGTGCTGCTTCCCTTATATGCTCCATCAGACAGTGCCAGTCACCGGTTAACCCAACTGAAGCATGCATCCTTCCCCAGTCCTGGTTGTCAGCTACCCAAGAAGCCTGGACTTTTGTAATTTGGGAATACTTATAATACTGACTTAATCCAAAACTCAAAGATAAGAGCTCAAAAAGTTTCAGTTTTGGACCATTTCAGATTTGGGAGAGGGAGGTGGTTTTTTGAGACAGAGTTTCTCCGTGTAGCCCTGGCTGTACTGGAATTCACTCTGTAGACCAGGCTGTTCTAGAACTCACAGAAATCCACCTGCCTCTGCCTCCCAAGTGCTAGGATTAAAGATGTGCAGCCAGCACATTTTAGATTTCTAATTTTGGCTTATGGGTACTTATCACTCTGTGAAAAAGAGATCATAAAGTGAGCTAGTGCTTCATTACTTAAATCTGTATAATGCAAAATGGACGTAACGATAAAATTAATGAAACAGATAATTTTTCTAAAGATAAATTCAAAACATGCACCTTGATACTGTTTTTTAAACAGCAGTGACTTACTACAGAGAATGTGTCTAGAAACGCAGATTTGAATGGCCTTTCCAAGGTTTAGCAGTCACTTACCTTCCAGATAAACTGGAGGGATCTGGAAGGTGTTCTAAGACACACTTTTGATTTTAAGAAGCCCTCTCAGAAGCCCACCCCTGGGCAACACTCCTGCGTCACAGCTGCAGGGAGGCTCAGAAAGAAGGTTGGTGGCTCCAGGCCAGCCTGGATTTTTGTCAGAAAACACCAAAACATAAAGGGGGGGGGGGCAGAAAATCTATTTCTTGTAGAGGGAATTACTAGGTCAAAACACATAATTGATAAAAAATAAAAAGTCTTTAAATACACATGTACATAAATTTGTAAACAGCTGGACCCCGTAAGGGCTGATGACACGCCTTGAAACAGTCTAGAAAGATGAAGCCCCTGGTTCTTGGAGTCTGCAGTCATATCCTGCCTCTTTGCCAATACTTCTACTAAGAAGCTGATGAAATAAGTTAAAGACAAATGGGTTTTAATTATGACAAATACATCTAAGAAATATAATAATTTGAAACATATAGTTGATTTGAAACATTCCACAAATGTTTGTGTGTGGATCTAAGAAGACTTTCTAAGAGTTAAAGCATTTTGAAGTAGTCTGTAAAAACAGAGCTGTGACATCTTTGTAGGATAAATTCTAGCCTACGGACTAGGACTGTAGATCAGTGGCAGAGCCCTTGCCTAGCGGGTAAGGCAGGCGGTGCCATCCACAGCACTATCTGGAAAAACCCCAAACCCCAACCTAACTACTCACAGCAATGACATTTCACACTGCTCCTGTACTATGTCCTTTTAATACTGCACCAGAGTTAACCTGATACTTCATAAACTCTCAGCTGGAAATTATAGGAGGAAAACCAGATTACTAATGTAGAAAAAAAAATGTTTTTCTAAACTTGGAAAGTTTGAACTTTTTTTATTTCTTTTTATTTTTTTAATTCTTTTTTAATTACACTTTATTCACTTTGTACCCCCCCTGTAGTTCCCTCCCTCCTCCCGTCCCAATCCCTCCCTTCCTCCACCCTCTACATGCATGCCCCTCCCCAAGTCCACTGATAGGGCTCAATCCCTATCCAGAAAGGCAAAGAGGATGGACATCAGAAGAAGAAAAGAAGGAACAAGTCAGGAGCCTGACACAGAGGGCCTCTGAAAGACTCTGCCCTGCAGACTATCAAAGCAGATGCTGAGACTTATGGGCAACCTTTGGGCAGAGTGCAGGGAATCTTATGAAAGAAGTGGGAAGCAGTAAGATCTGGAGAGGACAGAACTCCACAAGGAGAGCAACAGAACCAAAAAAATCTGAGCACAGGGGTCTTTCCTGAGACTGATACTCCAACCAAGGACCATGCATGGAGATAACCTAAAACCCCTGCACAGATGTAGCCCATGGCAGTTCAGTATCCAAGTGGATTCCATTATAATAGGAACAGAAACTGTCTCTGACATGAACTGATTGGTCTGCTCTTTAATTACTTCCCTCTGAGAGGGAAGCAGCGTTACCAGGCCACAGAAGAAGCCACTCCTGATGAGACCTAATTGACTAGGATCAGAAGGAAGGAAAAGATGAACATTTTTTTTTTAGCTTTTTTTTTTTTTTAAGATTTATTTATTTACGATGTATACAGCTCTCATTATAGATGGTTGTGAGCTACCATGTGGTTGCTAGGAATTGAACTCAGGACCTCTGGAAGAGCAGCCAGTGCTCTTAACCTCTGAGCCATCTCTCTAGTCTCCAAACTTTTTTTTTTTTTAAACTTCTAGCTCAATTTTATTTTGTATGTGAACATGATAAATCTCTTCCAAGGGTACTAGGTAACAACATATTCACCTCTGTGGCCCATTTTCATCTATTACATTATCTTCTCTTAAAAGAAAACATTACATTAAGACTAGACAACCTACCTTCAAATACAGTAAGTACTTAAACCACCCTTTGGACTTTTAAATTACTTTTTTATCTGCATTTAAAATGCTTTCTGGATTCTAACCAGAAGAGTTATGTATTTAAACACATGGTCAAGGTGAATCTGATCACCTTACAAACTCAGAATAAATGAAACACATCTCACAAAGCAAACAAGCCAGTATTTTCAGAACTTGAGGCCCCTAATTTCCATCTTTGAGCATATTCAGCCGCCCCCAGGCCATGCCTCCGCAGACACTGGCTGGTTATTTTTGCCTTTGTCCCCACAGTTGACTTACTCTTTGACAAAGTTCTGAAGCTGCGCCTTAATTGATCTCTGAGTTTGGTCAAACAAGATCTAGAAGATAAAAATAAAGACGTTAGGAGGAAAATAAAAACAAATACTACCTCACCTCGCCAACACCCAATTCTCATAACATCCTATTTCTTATTGAACACTGTGAAACAAAGTTATGAAAGAAACTGAAGGCAGTGTTAAGCCAGTTCTACCAGTCTCAAAAATAACTTGCTTCTCTTCTCTACAGAAAAGAAACCAATTTCCTCCATTCCAGTTCAGGTTTCGGAAGACAACCCAACAGTAACACAAGCTTTTCTTTCTCCACACTAGCCAAAAACAGAAGCAGTGCTGCTGTTTCCAGTGGGAAACACGAGCAATGGATGTGCTGCCTCCCCGTGAGTACTACACAGCCCTTCAGGTCAAAGGGCAGCTGTGAGCAGAAAGAACAAAACCTTGGTCCTCAGGGCAGCTCTCTGTCCTCGTGTTCTGGCGCCCTCCTAGTACCTTTGTAATTTTCAGAATGACCTCATGTTTAAAGTTTAAAACAGAGTGGGGGGGGGCTCCGATGGCAATACTCAAAACAGACACAAGAAATCATTGTGAATCATTCTAAATACTCCATATCTGCCCAATTTACTTCCAGAAAATGATGTGGTTTTTTTTTCCCCCTGTATCCTATTACACCAAATTAAGTAAAAGAAAGGAAACTATAGAAATCAAAGTGGAGCTAAATAGAAAATTGATAAAGAAAAAAAATCAATAAAACCGAAGCATGGTTCTTTGAGATTATCAATTGGTGAAAATAGAACAAGAACAAGAACAGCCCCCCCCCCCCCCCCCCCCGCTCAAGAAAGTATCCCTGGGCTGGGTGGGCAGTGGCACACGCCTTTAATCCCAGCACTTGCCAGGCAGAGGCAAGTGGACCTCTGAGTTCCAGGCTAGCCTGGTCTACAGAAACCCTGTCTCAAAAATCAAAACAACAGAATGAGGAAGGGGGAGGAAGAAGGAGGGAGGGAGGGAGGGAGGGAGGGAGGGAGGGAGGAAGGAAGGAAGGAAGGAAGGAAGGAAGGAAGGAAGGAAGGAAGGAAGGAAGGAAGGAGGGAGGAAGGGAGGACCCCTCACAAGAAAACATAAGTAACTGCAGTTGGGATGTCAGCCGAGCAACTGGATGCAGCCAGTTAAAATTATCTGCCTAGTAGCTGCTGCCCTGTGAACGCAGGCTCTGCTGCGAACCAAACACAGCCAGTCGGGGCTGGCCTCCTTTACAGGGAATGGACTGTGCATGGAAACTGCAAGGTGGCCGCTCTGAAGAATGGCTCTAAACAGCCCACTGTCTCTTGAGACAGCTTACATTTCAATGCCATGCCTGTGATGCTCTTGTGGTAGGCTCAACACGTGTCTCCTTTTCTACTGTCTGAAGGGTGGATACTTACAGAAGAACACGTTACTGCCAAAACAATAAGAAGGGAGATAAAAAGGTGTGCGTTTTGGATATTTAGGAGACAGGCTACAATCTTACCACAAGCAGATGTTAAAAGGATAATGTGTGTGGTCAGGAACCAATTACAAGCCAATAATCTCAACAGAAAAGGAAGCACTTTTTTTTTTTTTTTTTAAACACAAAATCTACCAAAGCTCATTAAAGAGGAATCAATAACTAGCGGGTTTAAGAAATACAACTTGTGATTTAAAACCCCTATTTCCTGTTAGGTCAAGCTCCTTCCTAGTTATCCTAGAGAAGGACTTAAGCCTACAGAAACACTGAGAGGTGAGATTCCAGAGCAGCTGTATTCACAATCGCCAAAAATGGAAACAGCTTAAATGCCCTTCACCGTGAAATGGAAAGACAGTAAGACAGTAATAAAAGGAAACATCTCATAGTGCATACAAATAGATGAATTTCAGTGCACTTGGCTAGATAAATAAATCCTATTCACAACACCTCACAGGCTATGATTTTTATGGCATTTAGGAAAAGGCAAGGCTATAGGAATAGAAAACAAGCCAGCAGTTTCCAGTGGAGAAGAGAAAGGCCGAGCTGACATGAGTGAGGAAGGACAAAAGAAGGGTGCCCTGCGAAGGCTGGAGGCTCACGGAGTTGCCATGTTACCTTGATTGTAGTGTCAAGACACAAGCACACACACTGTCAAAACCTCTAAAGCTATATGTCCCAAGAAATCAATTTCCATACATGAAAATTTAAAAATAACAAAACACATGGACGCGGTACGCCTTCGTGCCATTTGATGAGAGTTCTCTAAAGTACCAAAGATAACATTTCACCAAAAAAGAAATGAAGGAAAAGCAAGTTAAAACCATTGCGTTTATTCCAGGTCTTAGCCAAAAGGCCAAGGAGCGAAGCCCCCACCCAGCAACTTTAACAAACACGCTGAGGAGTGTGTAACACAACTGCAGCTCACACCCTGCCGATGGAGACAGACGTAACTTTCACTTAACGAGCAGGCCCTCCGCGGTGGTATGGGCACTCTCGCTGGCTTCCTCCCAACAGGGATGACAGAAGCAACAATGGGACTTCTTGGACTAGACCATAAACGGCACTAACATTTCCTTTGCCCTTGCTCTGGGGTCACATCTGGAGAGTAACAGACTCTGTCACACCTTTACTCTCAGAACTCAGGAGGCGGAGGCAGCCACAGCACTGTGAGCTTGAGGCCAGCCTGGTCTACAATGGGAGTCTACCACAGCCAAGCTACAAAGAGAAACCCTGTCTCAAAAAAAATAAAGGGGTGGGGGGGGGGGTCATTGGTAAAGAACTTGGGCCTCTGGCTAAAAGGTGTCTCTGACTAAAGCACCTTAGAATTGGATCCTCTCAGCTCGTATGAGGACTTTAAATGATGAGGTCCCAGCTCTAATACTCTGGCAGCATCTCATGAAAGACATTAAGCCAGAGCCACCCAACTGAGCCTCTCCCAAACTCTGAACTCAGAAAACTGTGAGCTAACAGATATTAGTTATCTTACGCCTCTAAGCTCAGGGTTAATTATAACACAACAATAAATAATATAGTCATCAACAAATGAGTGATTATACAAATGGTGATATATTCATAGAATGCAATGTCACTGGGCAATAAAAAAACAAGTATTATATACACAATATGACTGTCAAAATAACTAAGAGTGAGAGCTAGAACACCACAAAACAAATTATTCAATTATAAGACTGCAGATCAGTAGCTGACTAGGAATGAGAAGAACTGAGGAAGAGAGAAGGAATTACAAAGAAACAAAAGAAAGTATGTCTGAGGGAAAAATTTATAATTATGGAATATGTATACTATTCACTGTAAAAGGTGAATGTACTCCAAAGGAAAAAAACATACTTCAAAACTACAACAAACCATCCATACTTTCTAAAATACTTCATCCCCAAAATTAAACTGTATATGCATTTGATTAGCAAGAGAATTATCATAAGGAACTCCTTCATCTCACTTTTTTGTGTCTTTCTGTAACATGACCTCACTGTGGAGGCCAGGCTCGTTGGAAATCCATTACGTTGCCCAGGCTGCCTTCAGGCATGGGGTTTCCTCCCTCAACCTCCCAAGTGCTGTGTTACATACAGGCACACCATCGCACGCTGGTGTTACAGGCGTGCACCACTGCACGTACCTAGCCGAGGTATTGTATCTCGCCCTTTACAGTGACGACCAGGCTGCTAACGCATGCACAACTGAATAAAAGCTGTCTCCTATTTGCCGGTGTCGAGGCACTAATCTACACCTTGCTAAGGCACACGTTTCTTTTCCTGTGCTAGAAGTAAACAGCTACCGTGGCCCCCAAGAGAAACTAAGGCTCACTGTACCTCACTGTAGATTTTAACACTATTGCTGTAAGCGATCATGTAAGACAAATAACCAACAAAACGTCATGTTTTCTACTAATTATGGAACAATCCCGCTAAACTACAGTAGCTAGGACTCGGAAATCGGTGCTCTCACTCAAGCTATTTTCCCATTGAAGCAGCTTCTCTCTGCTGTGCTCAAGAAAAGATGAAAGCTGAGATGCACGTCACAGATGGCAGACAAATCACTTCAGAAAGGCAGTGCGGGGGGGGGGGGAGACAGGCTCCAGATCCGTAGGCAGCATCAGCCCTGCTTCCCGTTCCTGTCACTAACTTAGGAGTCACTGCCTCCGAGACAAGGCGTTCTAAAACCTTCACGATTTCTATTATCCAGGGACCACACCACTCCTACCTGAGGATTGTACTGGACACAAAATCATTATTGCCCTTTCGAGAATCCATAGTGAGGGCAGGGTAACGGCTTTTGACCCTGTAGGGTCACTGACTCTTTTGAGCAGTCTCATTAGGGCTAATAGAAAGAGCTATGAAATAGAACAACAAGACTCTTCCTTGTAGTCTTCGGTAGTTCCGTTCCAGTTACTGGGATAAAATAACTGACAGAACCAACTTAGAGAGGGTTTATTTCAGCTCCACCGTGACAGGAAAGGCATGGTGGTAAGAGAGGACATAGCTGTGAGAGCAGGAGCACTAGACAGTTGGTCACACTGTACCCTTGGTCTGGGAACAGAGAAAGATAAACCATGGTGCTCGGCTCGGTTTCTCCTTTTCCCTTTGTATCGCTCCTGGGCCCCAGTCCATGGTACGGTGCTATCCACATTCCAAGTGGACCTGCACTCCTGAATTAAGCCACCCTTACAGGCGTGCCCACAGGAGTGCCTGCTACGGGACTCTAGATCCTGTCACACCGATTACGAGGAGCAACTACACCCAAGCACGTCACTCTTAACCTTATTCCACCACAGGCTCCTGGCCATCTCATCATGCGAAATGCAGTCATCTAATTTCCAGAGTCCCCTCACACTTGCCAGTTCTAACACTGTCCAAGAGCCCAGTGTCTCTCATAAGACTCAAAGCGTGTCCTAACTCTGAGGCATCATGAAATTAATAAAGAAGTTAACTACTTCCAGTATGTACTGACACAAACATTCTCACTCTAGAAGGAAGAAATGGGGACCTAGCAAGGAAGGATCGCACCAAAATTCTGTTAGGGAAGCATAAAATTCTACAGCTACATG